AATCACACTTGCAATCCTTTGGATTCACCCCAAAAAGATTCGGTGGGAACAAACAACTGGAACCTTTTGGAAAGTCAACGAACCCGTCTGCACCATCATCCTTTACCCCTTACTGCTCCCTTGCCTTGCGTGCGCTGCCCGATGTACTGACTGCTTCTGCTTCCGCAACTATACCACTTTGGCTCTGGGGAAACGGAAAAGGAGCGAGCCTGCGGCGCGCGCGCGTGCGTCGGCCGGCGGGCTGGCCTCCTCCGTTCAGTGATACCCTAATGTATGCTTGACGGCATTATCCCTTCTTCCCATGTCATCGGCGGAGCCCACAGACCATGATATATTATCGGAACATCTTGCAGGGGTTATGAATGTCCAGGCAATAAACTGGTTATCAGCCGAAACGACGGCACAGCCGTTAGCTTCGCAGAGCATGGGATCACGAGAAGGAGCGCTCGGGCGAACAGAAGACCACGACCATTCCGAGCGTAACGAAAGTGTAGATGCCTCTATGAGGCGACCAAATTCTCTCAACCTTCCCAGAGAACAAGCATCAGAGGCTGTGTTTGACTTGACAGAAGGGGACTCCTCGGTTGACTCGACGACAAGGTCCAGAGCACAAGCCTCGGGCGGAAGGTATGGCGCAGCAAAATCTCCCGCCGAGAGACCATCTGAGTTGGTGTCGGTACATCCGGGCTTTCAGCCATCGATCGACCTAGATCTTGAGATGGAGAAGTTGCTGGATCACGCCCCCGCAGGAATGTCGGGCGCCGCGAGCCCCGGCGCGGAACGCGCAGCGCAGTTCGCGTTGCGTGGACAGAGCGAGGATGTGAGTGACTTGCAATCGGAAGGGGACAGTTCTCATTCGATTGAAAATAACGAAGAATGTGCTCGATTCCACACCTCGCCTGGTCCATCCTATCATCTCGGTCCTCTTCCCGATGGATGTGTCGAGCTCGCCCCAGGCGCAGCTCCGTTAGCGAGCGCAACAGCTGACCATGTAGCGGTTGAGGCAGTTCAGAGGCCAATTCTTGATTCGGATGATGATTTCGAAGAAGAGGAAGCCCAGGCAGAGGAGGGTGCTCGTCGGCCGATGTCATGCGCGCAGCGAGGAACACGCGATAATTTACAGCTATGACTCTTCTACCAACGACAAAGAAGCCGAAGGGTGCAAGGTTTCTACAGACCAGACTTCTCGTGGCCGAGGACTACCAGGGACAGTGTGCCAGAATTCGACGAGCAAGTAATGCAAGGCGAAAGAGACCATGTAGCACAGAATCGGGACGTTGATTTCATCGATAGGGGCGTGAGAACAGGAGAACAAAGCGCTTTCCTCCAGCAGTGAACGGGGGCGCTCCAGCCAGGCCCCGAGGGCCGGGCGTTCCAGTCCCTGGGGATTCGACGCCCCTGGATCACCGCGGTTGTCGTCGAATAGAACCACCGGCAGCATCTCGATGCGGGGGGGCTGCTGGGGCGCCTGGCCCGCGTGCCCGACTCGGGCGGAGAATCGACGCCCGGGGGGGGCGCGCAAACCGGGGGGTTCATGTCGGAGGCCAGTGTGTTCACAAGGTTTGAATGTTTGTCCCAAGTGTAGCCCAGCATGGCCTTGCAAGGAATGTGTCGCGATGAAATAGCGCAATTGTCACCGTGTCGCCACCCTGGAGTGGGCGGGGAGAAACAGACGGAATCGGGAACAGTTGAGGACTGCGAGTGCGCAAATTCAACAGATCATCCTGGAGGCGCAGGTGGATGAGAGGGCCGCCGAAGAGGCAAAACGCATGCTTGCAGTTTCTGAGGCAGAGAGGCAGGCAATGGCCCGAACGCCAGACGAGCGATCTTGCTGATATTCTGGCCATGCCAGCATTTCAATCAGAAAGGTCGGATCTTGGTAAGAAGCCGATGCTGACCGCCCCGTCTATGCCAGCGCTTCCCCTGGCGAAGCTCTGCGTTTCATTCCTCGGCCGGCTGTCGAGGAGTCTCTCGGGTCGAGCGAAGGTTCAATGCAGGGGTGCGCCCCGGGAACAAATCCTGGGAATATCCCTTTCAATGCCGAGATATCAGAGCCTCCTGACCTTGACTTGCCTGGGCGCCTTCCTTTCACCATCGGCTCAGCCGTGACTGGTGAAGGAGGTGGAGACTCCAGAGGCCACGACGACGATCAGAGAGACGATCAGAGTACAGCCCCCAGCACCGGCATGATCGTTGCGACGCAGCTTGACGAAACGGGTAAGCCCAAGCCACCTAGAGGCCCCTCAGGGGGACCTGGTGGCGACGGCGATCCAGGCGGAGACGGCGGTCGGGGGCCGAATGGCCACGATGGCCCGACCTGGCGGCCGTTTCATGCCAATCAAATGGGCGTGAATTGGAGGAGCTTTGGAAACGACAAAGAACTAAACTTGCTCGACATACCGAGCGCCCAGACACTCCGAGAATGGAAGTGACGTTGCATAGGGGCGGTAGCTGGGTCATGGCATGGTGCTCATGCGGCACAGACATGGGTTACGAAAGCCATGGGGCCTGATGCGCCGAAGGAAAATCTTAGAGACTCCGGGCCATTGATGCGCCTTGAGAGGGTGATCGCTACAAATCTGCTCGAGAAATTTGCAAAGATGAAGCGTGACCAACGTCTGTCAGTGCAGCATATTCATTTCTCTTCACAAGTAAATCGCATGGAGCATTCGCGCCAGATAGAGGGACGTCTCCTCGCGGGCCGAGAAATGAAACGAGCGATATGCGTTTGGTGTTCTGTCAGATCGGAGAGCGGGCAACACTGGAGATGCCGTGATCTTTTCAAACTGACCATTGATCGACATGAGCCCAATCAGGACTTGTACCATTTCTATAGTGAATGGATGAGGCGGTACCAAGAATTGTACAGTGCCAGGGAACCGTCGGATGAAATGAAGGCTTCACTACATGCACATTTCTACGAACAGATTAGACAGGTCCCGAGGCTTGAGTATGCCATGCAGTGGTATGAATTTTCGACAGATCCTCCAGGTACGGGAATGCGCATTTATCAGTGGCTTCAGCTTCAGGTATAATCTCTCATGATGCGGGACAGAGAACAGTGGGCAGTCTCCGAACATGAATCGACCTTCAATTCCAGAAGTAGACAGGCCCGCCTGACAGGTGGGACAAACGAGGGTGGTGGGGGCGGACGAAGAGCCTCCGTCATGGCACCGAAATTTAAACATGTAGCAACTCCGATTTGTTTTTAAACCCTGACCCTGCTTATCTGCATGAGAACTGCCGCCGGATTCCAGACATGTGGCAAATCCATAGGTTTTTGGACCCTGCCCCCGCCGATCTGCGTAAGGGGTGTCACCGAGTTTCAAAACTGTGGCCAATTCCTTTGTTTTCTTGGACCCTGACCCCGCCGAATTGCGTGAAGGGTGTCAATTTCGCCCCCCCCAGAAATTGTTGACGCTTCGCGTATCCCCACCAGCTCATCCAGAAACGGTGCTCAGGGGAGTTGAGGTGATCAGGGAAGTCGGGGAGCACGCAGAATAACAAAAGGCGGGGGGAGCTGTCACAGACCCCGAGAGGGGGAGGATGGAAGAGGAATCGTCGTCGTCGTCGTCGTCGGAGGAGGAGGAGGAGGAGGAAGAGGAGGAGGAGGAGGAGGAAGAGGAGGAGGAGGAGGAGGAGGAGGAGGATAATGAGGATGATATGGAGTAGGACGAGGACGAGGAGGACGAGAAGGAGGAGAAGGAACAGAGGGAGGAGAAGGAGGAAAAGGAGGAGAAGGAGGAGGAGGGGGAGGAGGAGGCGGAGGGAGGAAGAGGAAACGGTGGTTGAGGAAGAGGAAGGGGAAGAGGACGGCGAACCGAAGAGCCAGAAGCGTCTTGAATGCCTTTTCGGAAATCCTCTTGAGGCTTCTTGGGGGTCTCTTGGGAGCCTCTTGGAGGCCTCTTGGGCGCCTCTTGGGGACGTCTTGGCGCCTCTTGGGGCGCTCTTGGGGCGCTCTTGGGGGCTGCAGGGGCGCTCTTGGGGCCATCTTGGAGGGAGTCGATCAAACAAGAGGGGAGCTTCAATTAGCCTCCCCCCTCGGGAGCCCCATGCATCGCCTCTTGGGCCCCTCTTGGAGCGCTCTTGGAACGCTCTTGGGCGCTTTTGGGGCCGTTTTGGGGCTCTCTTGGGCCTCTCGTGGGGCCCTTTTGGGCCATCTGGGAGCCATATTGAGGCCTCGGATGTCCATCGGAAGCGACAAGGCGAGAAAACAAAAAACATTGTTTCTTCTTAGGTTTTGGGACGATTTTGGCCTCGTCGGGGCCTCCTTAGGGAGCTCTTTGGCCACTTGGAGCCGTCTTGGGGCCGTCTTTGGGCCTCTTGGAACCATCTTAGGAGCCATCTCGAGCGATCTTGCGCTATCTTGAGCCATCTTGGAGCTCATCTTGGGCTCTTTGGCGCGCTCTTGAAGCCATCTTGGGGCCAAAAGAGCCGTCCGACCGCTCGCGGAACCCTCCGTCCAGGTCCAGGGGAGGGGGTAGGGGGAGGGGTAAACCCCTCCCCAAGGGGGAAGAGGGAGGGGTGGAAGAGGATCTGTTCTAGACCACCTACGCCCAGAGGGCTGGTGGGATTCTGAGACCCCTCCCGGGAGGTGCTAAATAGGGCGGTTTTCGGCTTCCCCCCCTTCGCGCGGTCTACAACAAGAAACAGTAAGCAACAAGAAGCAGAGCAGTAACAGTGGATACTGGAAACTGGAATTGGCGCAGGGAACAGCAAACCCTGAACCTACAGCCTGGTGGCCCCCCAAGGGGGCCGGCGGAATTATTTATAAACAATACGAATTATATGATTAAAGTCGGGTGGGCTGCGTTGGGGCAGTGGCCAGCGCGCGCTGCTTGCGCGGAGGGGGTGGCCCAGGCGGTAGTGGGCGGGGTCCGAATCGACTCATCCCCGGCTTGTCGCCATGTAGAAAGGGGCCGCCCTCTCCCGTTCACCCTTGTAGGCGTCTTAGCCAGATTTGCCCCTGTCATTGGATCTATCAAGTAACCGAGTAATCGGGCAGTTGCCGCGTTGGCTTCTTCTTCTCCTCCTTGTGTCTCTCGCTCCCCAGCCGTTGGCTTCAGCCCGCGCTGTGGCTTCCCTTTTTCCACCCGCCCACCCTGCATTGGCGAGCGGACCCTCGCCAGTAGGGCGGGGGTCCGAATGGGCGCGCCCCCGATTTGTCGCTATGGAAAAAGGGGTAGTCCTCTCTTCTTTTCACCCTTGTAGTGAGCCGGGCGTCCAATCCCGATTATATGTATATATATATGTACAGATACATATTGCCCCCCCCGCCGACGTTCAAACATATCCATATCCACCCCCCGCTGGGGTCCCAGAGCATCTTTTCCACAGGCGGTAGGTGCAGATATATTCCCGCCTCGCAACGCGTTCGAGAATTACTTGTATGCGCCGTGCCGCGTTGGCGTCTCGCAAAGCGTCGTGAGCCCTCGACCTAGGGAACGGTGCTGTGCATACCTTTCCGGCTCTCAGAGCCGAGCACTCATGCGCCGTACCGCTTTGGAGCTGGGTGCGAACGGAGTCCAAACATGGGCACCGTTCTCGTCATGCAGCGATCGGCATTTGGCGCAACCAAAGGCCACTCTTGTCCAGGACGTCGCCCTCCCTTCGCTGTTCTTTTCCTCCTCTCCTCGTCTACTCGCTTCCCCGCTCCCCCTTTTGTTTTCCCTGGCTCGCTTTTCTTTGTCGGCCCGCCTGCCAGTCGCACGGGCGTTCAACGTTGAACGCCGCCCGTGGCCCAGAATCGGCCCATCATTGAGTGATCAAGAGCTGGTCGGCGGAGTCAACATCGACGGGGCTGGACAAGGCACAACGTAATTTTGCGGATGACGCCCAGCTGAAGACGCGGGTGTTCCAAGGACGCGTCATCGCAGGAATGACTCGCGTACTCTTGCGTGCAGCCGAAAGGAGGTGTCCGTACCGCCAGGCGCCAGCTGGCAGGCGCGCAGGCTGCCCGCCCACAGCTTCGTCGCGGCGCTGGCAGAGGCGCGCAGGCCCAGCGGCAGGCTGCGGGAGGCGCTGGAGCCCTACGCTGCGCGCTTCGCCGAGCTCATGCGCCCCGAGCCGATGCTGCACCGCTGCGCCCTGGCACTCGTCGGCTCGGAGCGCTGGGGCGCCGAGCTGGGCCCCGCGCTCTCCGCGCTCAGCCAGGCGACCCCGAAGTCGGCCGCGAGCATGAGCGTTCGGGAGCTACTCATTGGAGCCTCGTGCGCCCTCGACATGCAGTCTTGAGGGTGCATGAGCGTGCGTCAGCGTCTGGTCGTCGATGAGAAAGCGCAGATGTTCGGCCGATTCGCGTCGATTCGCACAGACCAGCGTCGGTAAGCATCGGCCAGCGTCGATTCGCAAGAGCCAGCAAGATGGCATGGGAGGCGCCCGTGAGCTGCCGCAGAAGGAGCGTCGCGGAGGTCCGAGCAGACCTGTCCGGGTCGGCGCCAGGCCCCCCTCCCCACAGCTTTCGGGGCCCAGGGCCCAGGATGTCCCCGTCCCTTCACGCCGCCTTTGCGTCTCGTGGGGCCCTACGGCCTCGTGAGGAGCGCTCTGGTGGCCGCGGGGTCCTCCTTGCGGCGGCGAGCCAAGGGCAATGCAGAGAGGGCAGGCCTTCTCAGGGGGCTCGGAAGGCCCGTGGGGCTTCCTGATAAGCCTCCAGAGGCGGAGGCGGCTTCTCAGAAGGCCAGAGGGCTTCCGAGAAGCTCCGCCGCCTTCTGGGAAGGCCTGCCCCCTCTCTCACTCCCCTCGGGGCGCGCCGCCGAGTTCTTTCTCATTCGATCCTCGGGGGCTGCCAGGAGGAAGAGGTGGAACCCACGCCGGGAGCCCGCGGGTCCGGGCTCCTCGGGCTGCCGCGCGAGGTGGCTCAGCAGGACCTCCGCTGCGGCGCACTCGTCCCCGGGCGCACCGCCGATCCTCGAGAAATCCTGCGCCGAGGACACCTTGGGCAGCACCTGGCGCTCTTGCCACAGCGCGCGGAGCGCGCCCTGGCCGGCGCTCCGGGGCACTGCCCCGCGTCGACCGACGTCGACCCAAACACACAAACAGCGTCGACCGACGAGATCCGAGCGGCCTTCCGAGAGCCGTGGGCGAGGAGCAGTATCCGCGGCCTGGGGGGCCGGGCCCCATGGGCCGCGACCCCGCGGATACGGGTCGTTTCTTCGCGGCTGCCCCGCGCGGAACGCACCCGTGCGACCGCGTATCCGCGGGATCGCGCCCTGGAGTCCAGACCGCGAGGTCGCGGATACGGATGTGATCACCGCTCGTGTGAGAGTTGATGCTCAGTGCCGTCTTTTGGGTCTTCTGCCAGCGCCGAGGCTTTGGGCGAGGCCCTGGCGCCCGCGCAGGTGCGCGAGCGCCTCTGCGGGGACTGCACCGACGCTGGTGCGCTGGCGGTCGACCTGCGCGTGTGCGGGGCGCTGCTGCGGACCGCTGGCGTCGCCTGGGCCTGAAGGGAGCCAGCCGCGGGGCTCTCGCCGTCGTTGTCCTCGTCTTCGTCGTAACGAGTAGGAGGATGAGGAGGAGGAGGAGGAGGAGCAGGAGGAGGGGGAGGAGGAAGAGAAAGAGGAGGGGAGGGGGAGGAGAAACAATAACAATACGAACATGAATAATACTAGGGCAACTAATCTTCTTTGTGTAAATAATGAGGAAGATTACTCATCATACTGTGTTAAAACATGATAAGAATACGGGGAGAACAATAAGACGGATACGAAGGTTACGAATATGACGCATAATACTAATACTTTTAATACTAATAACACGAACTTGGACACTACGCAGGATACGAGTTGGAGGAGGAGAACGATAATGATGAGGAAGAATATATGGTGATGGCGATGATGATAATGTTGATTATGATGCTGATGACGATGATGATGACGATTCTGATAAGGATGATGATAAGGATGATGATGATGATCATGATGATGATGATGATGATGATGATGATGATGATGCAGATGATGATGATGATGATGATGATGATGATGATGATGGTGATGGCGGTGATGGTGACGGTGATGGTGACGATGGTGATGATGATGGTGGTGATGATGCTGATGCTGATGATCATGCTGATCATGGTTATGATGATGACGACGATGATGATGCTGATGCTGATGCTGATGATGCTGATTCTGTTGATAATGGGGATTCTGATGATAATGCCGATGATGCTGATGGTGACGATGATTATGATGATGATGATGATGATGATGATGATGATGATGATGATGATGATGATGATGATGATGATGATGCTGATGATGATGATGATGATGATGGTGATGGTGATGACGATGATGCTGCTGATGATGATGATGATGCTGATGCTGATGCTGATGATGATGCTGATGATGGTGATTCTGATGCTCATGATTATGATGATGACGATGCGGATGCTGATGCTGACGGTGATGGTGATGATGATGATGATGAGGAGGAGGAGGAGGAGGAGGAGGAGGAGGAAGAGGAGCAGGAGAAGGGGGAGGGAGGAGGAGCAGGAGGAGGAGCAGGAGGAGGAGGAGGAGGAGGAGGTGCAGTGTAAACCTAAGAGTCATCATCGATGTTGGCATTCACCCTCCCTCCAAACTCCCTCATCATAAACCCCTGTAACGGTTCGTTTTCATTGAGGGAACCGCCTCGTTGGAAGACAACCTGTTGAAGACCCTGAAGCATGCATAAACACTGCTTTCGGCATTCCAACGCCACGGATCAGCCTGACTGTTGCGCCTTGACGATCCTAAATCGCACCAGAACGCCATTCCTGGGACTCTAGCACCGCGAATCAACGTAATTGTTGCACCCGCATTACCCCGAATCCTTCCAAACCACCAGTTCTCGTACGTTGATCATGGGCATCCGTGACATTTTTGCTCAGTTTATAAACGAATTTACGCGGCGCTAAGACGAGAGCCACACTTCGAAAAGGAACCGCCCTCAATCCGTGAAACTCTTGCGACGTTTTGAAACGAACGTGCACGGCGCTAATGCGAGAGCCACATTGTGAAAAGGAGCTGCTCTCAATTTGTGAATCTTTGCAAATGCTTAAAACGAATCTGCGGGGCGCTAAGGCGAGAGTCACATTTTGAAACCGACCCGCCATCCATCCGTGAAGCTCTTGCACATTTGTCAAGCGAATGTGCGCGGCGCTAAGGCGAGAAACACATTTTGAAAACCACTCGCCCTAAATCCGTGAATTACTTGCACATTCTCAAAACGAACGTGCGTGGCGCTGAGGCGAGAGCCATGTTTGAAAACGACTCGCCCTCAATCCGTGAAACTCTTGTAGTTTGTGTTCAACGATGTGCGGGGCGCTAAGGCGAGAGCCGCATTTTGAAACCGACCCGCCCTCCATCTATGAAGCTGTGGCCAATTTTATGCTTCATAATCATAAATGGTGAGGAGGTCTCAGGCGGAACGCCCGGCCCGCCCTAAAAACTGGCCTCGGAAGTTGTTTATAAGGACATGGAATGGGGGAGGAGGAGGAGGATCCATATGAGCATCCCTGATCTGGTCAGGTCTCAGCAGCTCAGCATGCAGTTTCAGTAGCAAATGCCACGAAGACGCACAATCTCCATTACAAGCGGCGTCGCCCAACCGCCCCCGTGTATGTCACGGAGTCGGTGTGGCGGCAACCAGCCACGAGAATTTCTCACATCCGCGTCGTGCAATCACCGCGAGGGAAAGACAGGCCACTCTTTGAGGACAACCTTCGCGCGTGGCGAGACAATGCGCTAGCACCTGCCTTTGTGGGGCCAACGGACGGCCTGCCTTCAGCGCGGGCCTTCGCAACATGACATTCCTCGCGAAGGAGCTGAGCGGTGGAGACACAATATCGTCCGCACGCTCGGCAGTACAGAACGCCCCTGAGGACCGACAAATCGTGCGAGGACCGACAAATCGTGCGAGGAATGGGCCCTCATCGCCGCAGGACGCGCAATTATAGCTTCGCGCCCAGCCTGCAGTCTAACCTTGCGCGCCCCCAGACATCTACCCAACCAGAAGTTGCTGACCTTCCGAGTAGCCTCAAACGTACGGCGACAAGCCGTGCATACAAAACGGGCTCCGTGCATCCGAGGAGCGTGATCTGCAGCGGCGAGTCTTTGCTTGCGCGTGAAATGAGATGGGAAAGAAGGAGGTCGGGGCGGGGGCCGACCAGCACGATCAGACTGCAAGCGCCGGCAGGTCAGGCTGATCCTTCGGGTCACAACCATAAGACGGTTCAAGACGCGCATGGTCGTATCATCCACCTCGTGCAAAAACTGAGCATGCTCCTCAGGAACCTCACCTACGGCGGCAGCCTTCCCAGCGAAGAAATCAGCACAGACGTTACATAACAGCTCGACCTCAGAGATGCCCCAAGCCTCGCGGACACGAAGACTTGAATGAGCTTTGGTCCAGATTACCTCAACGCGGCCATCGTGGGCGTCGAGAAGGTCCCAGATTCGGACCCAGAGGTCCAGCATCCGGGAGGACTTGGCCACCCAAGATCGTTTCCGTCTAAGGTCCCGAACAAGAGGAAGCTAATCTGAATCTGGAATTACGTCGTCCATCGTAAATTTAAGCAACACAATCAGCGCAAACAACTCCGAGCGCGGGCTCGACTGAGGCCGAGACGGGAGAGTCCCCGCCAGAATAGCATCACATCGAAACTCAAAATCGGCCACGCTAGCCTCGTCCAGCCGAACGACCGCCCGCTCACAACGACGAAGATGAAGATCCGTAGCCCACTTTCTCCTGACCCGTCAAGGCCAAATCTGCCGCCCCTGTGCCGCGTGTCCATCCGAGAATAGGCCCCGAGCCTGTTTCGCATCAATTGGTGGAGGTATAGGAGCGACGGCAGCAGCAAGAGTGGAAATACCTCTTCCCAAAGGCTGAACGCTCGTGCTCGTCGTGTATGGCTGTCTGGACAAGCTCCCGGGACCTGAGCAAGCGGACCGAGTCAATCTGATCGTTGGAAGAGCAGCCCCAGACGCGGCGTAGCGCCGTCTCACGGGCGACGCCACACCGAGGGCACATGCCATCTGTAAAGTACCCCGCATCCTGAAGCCGAGCCTCAGGCCACGTGGCGCTAGAAACAATGCACCAGAGTAGGGCAGCATCAGAACAACTGCAATCTTAAACCAACTTCGCATGCATACTCCTGAAGACGGAAAGGCCAGCACCCCCTTCAAGACCATCCCCACAAACATGGTTCGACGCCTTGCCCCGCAACATACGATCCAACGTACTCTGCACAGCAATCGTGAGTGGGAAGGGAAAATCACAAGCGCCAATGCTCAACGCTCTTACCGGCATAGACCATGATGTCATCGAGTCAGGGTCCCATTCGAGATCGAACAGAGTGCAGACCGTTTTAACAATGAGACCACGGACAGTGCGCCATCGATGGGGCGCTTCCGACAAGAGGGGCCTATCACGCTGCTTGGTCCAGGTCCTCTGCGCACCCGTACGCTGACCAGGAGACAGACAATGCCACGCACCAGCACTAGCCCGAAGCTGCTCCTTACGCATGCGGAAAGCACGATCGTCAGCATATTGATCACCAATGCTCAACACCGTGGTCGTGCACGCTCCCGGACTTCAATGGCCCGGGCACTGGGCCGCCTCGGACCTGAAAACCTGAGCGTCAGCCACGGTGAGGCCGACCACGGAAGGACTCCAAGATCTCACCGAGAGTAACCCCAGGTTTGTATATTTTCTTATCATTACCACATAGACGGGCAATGTAAGCGAGCTTACGTGAGCGTCGGAACACAGAGCGTCGTCGCAGGAGGGGGAGGGGGAGGCGGAGGACGAGGAGGAGGAGGAGGCGGAGGCGGAGGCGGAGGCGGAGGCGGAGGCGGAGGAGGAGGAAGAGGAGGAGGAAGAGGAGGAGGAGGAGGAGGAGGAGGAGGCGGGGAGGGGAGGCGAGGCGGAGGAGGAGGCGGAGGCGGAGGCGGAGGCGGAGGAGGCGCAGGAGGAGTAGGAGGAGGCGGAAGAGGAGGCGGAGGCGGCGGAGGCGGAGGCGGGAGGAGGAGGAGGAGTAGGACGAGGAGGAGGAGGAGGAAGGGAAGTAGGAGGAGGAGGAGGAAGAGGAGGAGGAGGAGGAGCTGGAGAAGGATGAGGAGGAGGAGGAGGAGAGGAGGAGGAGGAGGGGGAGGAGGAGGAGGAAGAGGAGGATGAGGAGGAAGATGAAGGAGGGAGGGGAGGGAGGGAGGGAGGGAGGGAGGGAGGAGGAGGGAGGTAGGGAGGTAGGGAGGTAGGGAGGTAGGGAGGTAGGGAGGTAGGGGGGTAGGGAGGTAGGGAGGAGGAGGAGGAGGAGGAGGAGGAGGAGGAGGAGGAGGAGGAGGAGGGGAGGGGAGAGGGGGGGGGCGGGCGGGCGGGCGGGAGGGAAGGAGGGAGGGAAGGAGGAGGAGGAGGAGGAGGAGGAAGAGGAGGAAGAGGAGGAGGAAGCGGAAGAGGCATACTACTACTACTACTACTACTACTACTACTACTACTACTACTACTACTACTACTACTAC